TTTTGCATATTTCATAGTTGATGCAGAGCAACTTAAAATAGATGCTGAAGCTATGATTCAAGTAAAGGAAATTTGGAATACTTTCTCAACGTGTACATTTCATAATCCTTTTTTATTTAATGCTACACATTAAGGAAGAACTTAATGTAGTACTTGTTAGATTCACACTGAGCACTGAGTATAGAAAAGCAAAGTTCTTCTCTTCCTTTTTTTTAAAATTTAATCGCTTACTTTTATCAATGCGGTTTTTGTTTGTGGATTTAATATTTTTATTCGGTTTTCATGAATCCCTGATGCCTACATAGATTTTACAAATGCATGCATAAATACAAATCATTTCTATTGAAAAATGTCTTAAATTACTAAGAAAGCAACATACACACAAAACTGACCTTGAATCAATTGTTTATTTCAAACTATGTTCGTTTGAGTGAGTATTAACGTCGCACTGTTCCTCTACATGAGGGCTTATGGTCAAGTGATGAGGATGACACCAGAGCTGAAACCCTCTCTCCTAATTTCCGAATCACACCAATGGGAGGATGTTTGATATCCCGACAGATGTAACGTGCATCGCTCCCCTGCACGGCGTATTTTCAGTGATACTGGGTTCGAACTCATGACATGCCACCCAAGAGTTCGTTACCATGATCGCCGCCATCCAAACTGTGTTGGAACTAGGTGCCTTGGATTATATAAAATTACATTGAATCAAAGAGCTAAAAAAACCAGCTACAGTCTAGGAAAAGTCTGGCTCATTTCAGAGAGGGGAGAACACCATCTGGTGATATTACATAATACTACAGAAATAAACTGCATTCTATGGATATAACAACAATTTTATTTTATGTATTAATTGTAAATCTGTTAGATGGGGGCAATCTTCATCAGCATTATAAGCAAACAGATTATTAAAACAATTATAACTATTTATAAACTGGTAAATATATATGGGAGGAATAACACAGATGCTATTAAAGATAAAATGAAAACTATGAGAAACACGTGCGCAATTGTTTAAACTTCGCTTTTAGTTTTCAATCAAAATTCATCTCTTTAACCTTTCACAGAACAATAGACCTCGCGTTTTGTAGAACGCCAATGTTCGTAATTAATACAAGCTCATAGGTTTGAAAACTCTTGACAGAATCAAGACTGATTGCTCCTGTTTTAAATACGACTGAGAATTATTTTTTGCTACCAGGGGCTGGCTTTTAAGGGGAAAAATTAATTTAAAACAGTTTTTAAAAGGAATAACTTGCAAAATAAAAAATGGGAAGCATCGGGGTTTTAAAAGGGTAATTTTCTTTCAATAAGAAAAGAAAACGATTGACCTAGAATCAATCAACATTTTTAAAAAACTAAAAGATTTTCTTGAAAGTTAGAAAAAATGTAATTTTATTTTTGCGAAATACTACGAAAAACTATTCATGAATGAAAATGATGTTATAATGTAGTTGATCTGTATTCATATTTTTTTTCTCTTGATTAAAAATAGCGATATATTTAGATTTAAAACTCAGCGTGCAACTAGATAGTGAAAAAAATTATACAAATATAAAAATGCAGTTCTTTCTAGAAACCTCATAAATATTTCGTAAATTTGAAAGAAATTAAATAGTTGTCAATAGATGATGAAACAGTATTTCATTGTAGTTAACTTTTCTATATCATTTAAGTAGGATTTTAATTATATGGAATATAAATATATCCCAGTCACACAAAATGGGTTACATTTATACTTCTATAGACAGTGGTACACGCCAACATATGTACGTCTCCATCGAGGACGCGGGTTTAAAATTCTTGTAAAGGGCGGATTAGGGAGAAAGGCGAATAAGGGTTGGTGTGGTGTGGTCTCTGTTAATAATGTAAGTAATCCTAAAATGTTTAATAGTATTCTGTTTTTTATTTCTATATGTAATGTAAATATTTTAAATGTTTCTGAAAGTACTTAAATATAACCTTTATATATTAAACAGCTTTTTTGCATTTAATTAATAACCCGTGGACACTTAAACCCCCTGGACACCACTAAGAAGTCATATGTATACATAAAATGCACCCTATGCCTTGTTCCATCAAGAATGATTAATATGCGCAAATATTCGGAATTAGTCTAAAATGACAAGCAAGATGATAGAATTATTTTTAGAATTGCGTGGCCACTAATTCGTTTAGCTTGAAGTTAAGAAATAGCAGCCTATAAAAACTATCGTAGAATCATTACACTACTTTTACTAATGTTATGATTGTAGTACTGAAAGATAGCGGTAAGGGGAAATTCAAAATAGAAGAAACGACGTTCAAGGCGAAAAAAGAACAAAGCACCCGTGATAAAATAAGACAATTGTGACTATTATGCAGAAGTTTATTCAATTTGGTGCTTTAAATGGCAAAGTATTGCATAATGTACGTCAATATATACTACAGCAGTTCGTCTACCACAGTGCTTCTCAAACTATCAATATTTGCGACCCAATTTTCAATCATAATTTTCATAGCCCCCCCTTTAATGACAATGTATTGAAGGCAGTAATAATGCATAATACTGAGACTCTAAAGCTACAATATGACCTTAATTATTAACGTGATAAGCATTAAATTTTGTGAACAATTTTGTGTATGATAACCTATGGAAATCACTAGTATTTTTTTTTAAGCTTCTTCTTAACTTAGTATTGATAAATTAATCATCAAATTTGTGCCGTACATATACATATATATTAGTATATCATAGTAAACATATTTTATCTTTTGTTATGTCAAAATATATTTTGTTTTGATTAATCTTAATAAATTAATAATTTTTTAAATAATCTTTTATTTTCGACTTCTCGATATGCTCGTGTCCCGCGATTAGGGTTATCACCCCCCTAGGGGCCGCACTCCATAGTTTGAGAAACACTGGCCAACCAGAATATTAGTTGTATATGGATTGTACATGCCATAAAATAGCACATTGATATTCTATTGCAATCTCAGTAGATCTGTTTTAAAAATATAGGGGACTTTTATTTTTCAAAATGATTAATGATAATGGTATAATGATATGAGTACTAAGAAGGTAATTACAAACCGAAATTTATGACAGGAATAGAACGAGCAAAACATGTTCCTGTTTGTGTAATAATAAATCGAACTTACACTTGTTCAATCAGAAAAAAAATAATAGGGCACTTTCCACAAAAGACCCTGTTTTTATTTTTTTATAACGTGGGATTTTCGCTATTAAAGAATAATTAAATTCCACATAGGAGTCATGAGAAGAAAATAAAATAAAAATCTAAAATGTCAGAATTTTTCTTTATGATTGCTTTAAAGGAGCTATATCAAAATATGTGACTTCATCTTCTTGAATAATTTTTTTTTTCCAATGGTTTTTCCTCAATATAAAAGACCAAGGGAAAAAACTAAAAAGAAGGAAAAAGTAAAGAGAGTGCACATTTTTATATGTGATATACATTCTTCATTATACATTTTAAATCCATAAAGTGGAGAACCTAAATATCTGGATTACATAAGTAAACGTAGTTATAAGTGACTCAAATTTAAGTTTTCTAAATTTCAAAACACTTCAATTCTCGGAAATTTCAAAAACAATGCAGACTCCCAGCCAATATTTTTCAGGTTATAAAAACTAGCAAAACACATTTAATTGCAATGTGTGTGAATTCATCTACTTATTAATTATAATTAATCAAAAAATTCTTAATATTTGAATATATATATATATATATATATATATATTACTACTATTATTTTATTCATATTTACTCTGGTGTTATATTATAGTTATGCTATAATATGCAACTCTGTCAAATTTTATTTCCATTCTTTTATTCTTTTTGTTAAGTGCTTTACATTTCAGCCATTCTTTTGATTTAAATCTGTATTGGGGTATAGAATCACAGCAACAAATTAATGTTTTGCACTAATGTTAGCTCGGGCTTTGCATTTGTAAGAGATTGCAATTTTTAGGAAAGGATTACCTCTATCTTGTAATGGATTTTAGATATTTCTATTCATTATTTCCTATTGGTTTTGCTCAGTGATATTTACAAAAAAGAGTATTTGGCTGGCCAAAAACATGTTCAACCCCACTTTTATATAAATTATTTTTTTATATAATAGCTGTCCTAAGTCAGTAATGTTCATAACACTGCATAATCTATTTTATATTTATAATCTCGATTACAGCACGTCCTTCATTGTGTAATTTTCCTGCTGTCTATGTGTTTGTCGAATATTACATTGTTTGGATGTTATCTCTTGTTTGTAGAGGGGCCTTTGCTGTATGCTCTATATATATATATGAACCGCCAACTCCCGAAGATTCAAAATGTCTATGTGCATTTCATTTCTCAAAACATCAATATATTTGCACAAGCACTTATAAAATAATTTGATCTTTTCAACACTTCACATATAAGCTTGTAGTCACTTTCAAGCTTTTACTTTTGTAATTAAGTTTTGCTGTGACTAGAAAGTTGTGGCCAACACGGTCTTGAGTGGGTGTTTTCACTGAGCTACAGATGACAATTATGGACAATTTATCTTTTCTTGTCGATGTTTGTGGTTGGCATCTGGCCGATTACAGCCCGCCGTTGCAGAAATATTCATTGTAGCTAACAAAATGATTTCAAAGGTTATCGCATATTCAGGGATCAGCGATGCTATTAGGTCATATCAAACAATAAGTCACTAACTACACCATAGGGTCAAAGTTACGAAGTGATTGTTTTGGAACAATGCTTGCTGCAAGGAACTTATCGATGGATTAAAAGTTTTGTTGTTGTTGTCGTGTGTTTTTATCCTGGGATACAAATGTTAAATACGAGTGGAAGAACAGAAACATACAATACAAAAGAAGAATATAGACATTTATTACAAATGATGATCCCAGCATAGAACAGAAGGGATGCGCTGCTGTCCATTCGAGACGGGGATCCATTTCAGGTGAAAGAGCCTGGCTTTTTTCCCTGAAGGAGATACAACCATGCCTTATTCGGGATTCAAACCCGAATCCACTCGGTTACAAGCCGAGGATCATTTCCACTATACTGGCCGGGTGTCATTGAAAGTTTTGGAAGATGAAAGTGAACGAGTGGAACTCGCAGAAATAGAGTAACTGAGCATTCTGAAACATTGAGGAAACTCTAACTCCATACAGTCACAGTGCATTTTGCAATATGCTCACACTTCCAATACCATCTAATTACAGTGCACGTATTTCATGGCATTTAACTGTGAGGGTACGGAGAAATAATTGACAGTGACTTATCAAAAGTATTTTATGCACACAAATTCGTTGGATGTGGGGCAGCAAATTGTACAGTATTCAGCTATAAATACACCATTTCTGCCATAGAGAAGATTCGCATTGTTTTCATATAAGAAAAAGCCGTGGGGTATAGTTACAATCAGCATTTTATTTTTTGTATAAAGATATATATGCATTCATTCTTCTAGTATGAAGAATGGGAGCACTGTCTATTATGACAGCAGTTAGGATTAGCAAACAATTTTAAAAACTCAAGACTCTGGTTAGGATTTCATGCGGTTGCGATAATATTCCACATCTTTCATCCTCTTGCGTCCTTTTTTAATTAGTGAATGCCTGATCTCGTATTGCTTACAAATCAGAGGAATGCATTCGTTCTATTAATACTCTACTTGCCGTACTGCATGTCCTGCCATTACTCTCGATGTTTATCTAAATAACATTGGGAGCCTTTATCGCCATTTATATTGTAAAATGGAAGTCCCTGCATGGACAATGATGGGGAAAGGTGGGGGGTAGTTCATTATTCTATCATTGGGCATGTTATTTCTAGCATTTCATGAGGCCAGAGATTTCATCTCTCTTTTATCATTTCTGTTATTGTTGTTTCTAATGCCACCTGTTTGACGGCAACAAATCAAGGCCTACGAAATTAATCGTGGCAAAAGGCTAGAGATTTACACCTGTTGATAGCCGTAGCTTTGAGCACCATACAGAAGACAGTACGATTTTACATGGTTACGCCCCAATTTTGAGGTATAAACACTCTATGAGACTCAAAAGTTCCCCGCCTCTCTTACCCTTCCTACAACCTCACGAGAGGACTTGCAACTCGATGGCTACATTGAGAGTAACTCCATGCTGTAAAAGCGCTATACATTTAAAAACACATCTGCACCTACTCTGGGATTCGAACCGAGACACAATGGCACAGAATTTAGCTTCACTAACCACTGTACCGGATGGGAGGCGGCTCTATCTTTTTCTGTATCTGTATATTATTTTTGTATGCGTTTCACTTGTAAAAAAATCCCTCACTTTATAGGGTTTTAATTTTTTATTATTATTATTTTTTTTTTTACAAAATATGCAATAGGACTTAAAGTTCAATTTCTTGAGTGCTGAATACGCTTATGTTTTCTTCAGGATTTTAGTAGAAAAAGTTGAAAAGTTTTAAAGATTTTGATAAAGTTAATTTAATTGGCTCGTTTTTGAACTACACTGAAATGAAAAATCTGAATCGTTTTCCAGTAAAAAAGGTATTTCTCTTTTTCCCACAATATTTTACTGCTTAAAAACACATTCTGAGTCAGTAATTACAAGAATTTGATAGAATTAAGACAAAATATAACGTAAAGCTCAATGGGATTTCACACAGTACCCCTACTACTTACACATAAGCCGTCATCTTAAGCTGTATTAATTAATAAGCTACTTCGCGCCTGCGGAGTACATCGATGATGCGCATAAAAACTAGAAAAATGTACTATAATTTTTTTAATCATTGAAAAGCTCGAAATATAATTCTCTTTTTAAATTCTTTTTTGTGGAGGCTTTTATTGAGGCCAATGCATTAATTACTTTCTAATGACCTAGATACAAGAAAAACAGATTTAGCTGAATAATTTTGATAAAAATTTTCCTTTTTAACGGCAACAATAAAACCTTTGGAGGCATTTATGAGGTCTCAGGGGTGTTAATTTTGTCTCGAGGGTTAAACATATGAACCATTTTCAAACAGATATAATTCTTTGAAATTAAAGTTAAATAATATATATATATATTCGAATGTTTCACCCAGAATTTATTAAGGAATACGGTATTAAAAAAGTGTAAAATAAGAAACATTTCTGTAATAAATATTTTTACGTTGCATAAATTCTAATTGTTAATTTCTAAATAGTAGCCTAGAAATTGTTAATTTCTAAAATAGTAGCCTTTGATGTATAAAATTTTATAAATTTCTAAAATGCGTCATTCTTTTTAAACCCTACCTAATTTAAGTATTATATAAATGTTGTATTTCAAAATATTTGAAAAATATTGAAATTAAAAAAAAATTTAAAAATATAATTTATTTATTTTTTTTAAAAAAATTTAATTTAATTATTTACAAAAATTAAATTTCTTTTTTTTAAAAAGTAAAATACAATTTATTATTCGATTTATATAAAAATAGTTACACTATATTAAGGATGCATTTAATTTTATAAATCAACTTTTTGTTAGTAAATAGAGCTATTATTTTAGAAAATACCATGCCCAACGTAAAACAAACAGAAATGTTTCTCATTTTCATATGCTTATAATTTTTAAAATTATGATTACATATTAAACATTTTACACTTTTCTAAAAGCCTAATTCTTTCATAAATAACGTGTAAAAGATTTGGATTATTTCTTCTTAATTTCAAAGAATTTTATCTATTTGAAAATTGATTATATTTTCAGTCCTCAAGGAAAAGCTAACACAACGCTGAGAAACCTTAAATGGTACAGCATTGTTTATTAATTTTGAAATCTTTTATAAACAATGCTGTACCATATTTCCGTATCGTAAATAAATGTTTCAATGTTTGCCATTCATTTAATTGTTGCAATAAAATTATGACTTGCAATTATTAATGTGTCTTGTTTCTTCTACCATATATATATAGTTTGCTTTTCATAAGGTGACGTTAGATTATTATAATAATTTGCTGCTGCCCAGTACTTTACACAACCGAAATCGTTGCCACAGACATCTGAAACTGTGCAGACTGCAGGACGTTCAACAGCAACAACATGGTGCATGATGTTGTGTGCATACAGAAAACATGGCCATCAGAATAACCTCAGATTCTATAATGAGTTTAGATTTGTTTAATATGAGGCAAACAGTACACTTGAAAGTGTTTATTGGGTTCATTCAAAGAATCTTGGAGAACTATGGACGCAGGGCTCATGGAAATACCCTGATCCCATTCAGCTGAGTTAACACAGTCAGCGTGTTTGATTATAAATGATCGATAAGGACAATTATCTGTAAAGTAGGTTGGGCTGAATTATTTCTTTCCTATAGTAATATTCTGAAAAAGTTGTATTTCTCTTAGCAAAATAAAGTATAAAAAAAAATCCAAATAAATATGCGTATATATATTTATATTCCACTCAAGAGTCTTACCTCAAGTTTAAAAAAGGTAGAAATTCCGTAATCATTTGCAATTTTGCTCAATTATTTAAATTTATATTATTTTAACGTTATTGCTCTGCATTGAAATTATGGAATACGAATCGAAAGGAAAATGACAATATTTATTCTTTACACAAAAAGGCTAAAAAAACATTTATTGTTTGTAAAATTCGCGCAATAAGTCATAAATTTATTTGATCTTACATTTTCGATTTAAGTAAACAAAACTTAATAAATAATAAAACTTTTTTTTTGAATAATTATAGTACTATGTAGGTGGACGTATTATTAAACATAATTTAAAAAAATTATTCGCTATTTTTTCTTCAAAGAATTTTATCTTAATTTAAGATATTTTGAAGATGCTGAAAAAAAGTCTTGAAGAAACCATATTTTATTTCATTCAAGCACTTTTCAATTTTTTTCATTACCAATGTTCCATTACTTAGTGTTAATTAAGGGGAAATTTGGAAATTGTTTCTGGATTACTTAACTTACCATCATCGCAATGAATAGATGTCACGATCGTATATATCTCTTGCTCTTTCAGAAACTTGATAAAATGCACAGACAAATGATGTCAAGAGAAACATTTAAGCTCTAAAATATTCATAATAGTTATTTTTAAAAATAATATTTTTTTAAGGAAAAAAATCCGGCAAAATAAAAAAAAAAACAAAGAATTTAATGTACTGTTATTGACATTTCTTTTTTTTTAAATTACTAAACATTTGTAAATTAGAAAAACAAAAATTAAAATCTTTAAAGTTTACGAAGAAAAAACAACAATTTTTAAAATGCCCCGAAAAAGAGAGTAAATTTGAAAATAAAAAATTTTTCTTCGATTTAAAATTTTAAATTTTTTTTTAAAATTTGTTTATGGGGTAAGGGAATATATTATTTATACTTCTCATGGCATTTATTTCTTAAATAATTTTTCTGTCATACTTTATAAAAAAAATAATAAAATATATGGAGCATATATAATTTTTAACAGTAATATGTCAATTTGTAATAATATTCAAACTTTATTTTCTCTAAAAGTTTAACTGATGATCGAAATGGTATAGCAAATGAAATGTTTCAAGAAATTGTTTAAATAAAGCCAAATGTATCTGTATGCCAAAACTACCAATAAACACTCAGTTGTCAACAGGTAGACAAGATGAAAAAAGAATAAAAATTCTTACTAAGGATCACATTTTGACGCCTTAACATAATTTTATTCATAATTCTTAATTCCTACAGAATTTTTCCTACAGAATTTCATCTGTCAACAGGTAGACAAGATGAAAAAAGAATAAAAATTTACTAAGGATCACATTTTGACGCCTTAACATATTTATTCATAGTTCTTAATTCCTACAGAATTTTTCATTTAAAAAATGCATTCTCCTTTAAACTGTTCCCTTCTTGAAAAATTGAGAAAAAGTAACTTTTCAACCAAGATTCTTGAAAGTAATCGGCTTTTCGAAAGTTCAGCTCATTAAGCCATAATGATGTCATTGACTTCAATTTCCTTCAACAAGTTTATAGAATAAAAATAAAAGGAAAATAGCAGTAGAGATTTTCGAAATATTTTAATAATTAAGAATAACTGCATTCATTTTCT